CGAACTTAAAAACAATCTAGAACAATTCAACCATACACAAGTCTCAAAACCCTCTTGTGATTAATTCACAACCAACATTGTTCAAAGGAGAGACAACTTTTCTTCTTACAAAAGAAGAAGATGAACAATTGGCAGCCCCATTTTGACAAGCCCTAATAGGCAAATTCACCAAAGAAAGATCAAAAATTGATTTTCTGCGAAAAGAATTTCAAATCATTGGATTCAAAGGGAACTTTTCACTTGGATCAATTGACTACCGACATATTCTCATATGCTTTGACCTTGAAGAAGATTTTCATCGTTGCTGGATGAAAGGGTTGTGGACCTTTGACAAGAATCGGATGAGAGTCTTAAAGTGGACCGCTGACTTCAATCCAGCACACGAAAGCTCGATTTTCCCAGTCTGGATCTCTTTGGAAGGCCTACCCATGCATCCCTTCAACAAGGAATACTTTTGGAAGCTTGCTAGTGTCATAGGGACCCCTCTCTCAAGTTTGCGTAGAGTTAGACCTGCTCAAGGAACACCCCATTCGAATTAGACTGAGAGTTGACGCGACGTCTTACTTTCAACCGATTTATTACGAAAATGTGCCACTTTATTGTGTTGATTGTAAGAAAATTTCTCATGATCAGCATTCATGTCGAAACAATACTAGAGTTCCATCATCTCATAAGCTGGATTCTAATATTTTGAAGCCTCAACCAAAAAGGCCATCACATCCGAGTCCTTCCCTTTCTCATGAACCTCAGGACCCGTTGCTGCATGTCTCCGTAGCTGTTGAGCCTGAGGAGTGGATGCCTCGGTTGCCATCTTCGAACGCGTCTAATTCAGAAGGCCTAGTCATACCCACCAGCGGGAATTCACCAAGGCCAGAAATTCCATGCTATGTGAGCACCCTCAAGGGTTCAACCTCAGGTTTCTCAATTATGGAAAAAACTTCCATTCCTGTTGATGTCCCAGATAGTCCCCCGCTTCCAATGATTTGTGATCAAATAGAGATGGAAGAAACGACAAACCGCAGCCCTCCAAGTCCAATCGAGTCGCAGACCACCGTTGTGGTTGTCCCTGTTGCAAACCACCTCAATGGAAGCGGTGGTTATCTATCGCCGGAAACAGAAGAGCAATAGAATCCTTCTGGTCAAACCCTCATTACACCCAAAATCAGCGCAAGCCGAGTCGTAGCTTCTCTTGTCGATGATCCTGGAATTTGACAACCCAAATCAGCGCCCCCTGCAATTTTAATTACTGAGAATTCAACAGATGCCAACGACGGACATTCAGACTCGTTGGAGGAGCATCGACGATCAGAATTGGTGGAAATTCGCCGAAGGCAACAGTTAGAAAATTCGCAGATTTTTCGGTCTTCAGCGCAACAGCCTCCCCAATTTTCAGTGTCAATTATGCAGTGAAAATAGCCTCATCCGGATCCTCCTCATTCTAGTAATGATAACTCAAGATCAATTTCGGTATCTTCCAGTTTCCCAGCCGCACAAAACGTGCAACCACAGTCAGCTTCCCAACCTGACTCGGTTTTAAATGGAAAAGAAGCGCAGTCCAAGTCAAATTCTCCGATTTCTGATAATGAGGGAATTCTTTCTGAAAATAGCTCCAGTAAAAATTTAAATCCCTGTGCTCCAGAATTTATGCTCTCCTCTCAGCCGCAAAGTCCTTTACTGCAGGTTATACTGCCAATTACAGCCCCAAAATCATACTTGTCCATGGATGATATAGATGCTCGAAAGAATATCGAGCCCCTAAACCCAAGTCTTTTTATTGAAGAAATAAATTCTGAAAGCGGTCTAAATCATGCTTCTCACGGTTCCGATGAAGACGATTTTGTTATGGAATACGCAATGGAACAAGAATCGTTTTACAGTAATCTTCTGGTCTAACATATCATAATAATTCGAAAAAAAGGCAAGGCGAAAAAGAAAGTCCAAATTCGTCGTTCTGCTAGATTGATGAAGAATTAAACTTCGCTTTAATATCAAAATTGTATTTGAGATAAGGTTTAGTATATGAGCTGCCCTATTTTTTCCTTTAATACTAATAAAATTGTTTTTGTTTATAAAAAAAAAATCTAAATTAAGGTTGATAGTGACGATTTTCTGGGAGATTTGACGATGTTCTTGTTAGTTCCACTGGGAGGGGAAAAAGTGCAACGTTAATTCGATCCTTGGACGAAATGCTTTTCAATCAATGTCTTCTTTTGGCGTGACAACTGCTTGGTAGCGCTAATCCCCAGAGTATTAGATGATAGCAGAATTCTCCATGTAATTGATACTCCAGCCACCAGGTAATTAAATATTATATCACCCACTTAGATTATTGATGTTGAATACATATTCATTGAATTAAATGGAAATCTTAAAGACAATTGTAAAATTTTTCATTGAAAATTTCCTATGTGCTTGGGTATTAGAAGCGCGCCCCCGTATCAGCCCGGTGCGCTCTAACTAGACCGGGTGTTTGGTATATAAACTCTGTTCATGCCCTCAGCTTTGTAGGTAAATTCTTGAGAGAAATTTTTTTTGTATTTCTTTATATTTTTTAAGTTTTCTTTACAATTACATTGACATCTTGCCTCAATCGATTTTTATCTCATGAAAATTCAAAATTCATTCTGTAAATTTTTTTTCGTTAACTTTTTTTTAATTGAAATATTGGTGGCATTTCCAATTTAATTTATGGGAAAAGGACAATCCCCGAGTTATGTCCCAAAAACAAATTGCTCCCCCGACATTTCATATAAGAACAATAACCCCCCTGACTGCCGATTAAAGGAAACATCTTAGCGTGAAAGGCAGAAATGTCCTTAAATTTAAAAAGAATATTTTTTACACTAAACCAACCGTCCAACCAACTCGTTTATTTTTTAAAAATTATAAATTCTAATATCCGTCATTTTAAATTTGCCATTGATTTCGTTTTGATGCATTATTTCTTTTTATCACTGCTGGCTCAATAAAAATAAACCCGAGACTGATAACTTAATCTATCAAAATCACATATTATATTTTAAAAAGAGGAGAAATAAATTATATATTCTATCACTGCTGGCCCAATATGGTTCCTCTTCTGTTTTAAAAAGAGGAGAATACATCTAACGTTGAATGTTAATTTGTTCTCCATGGTCCATTAATTTGAACTCTCTGAATTATAGTTTATAATATATACGGTTTTGATAGATTAAATTCTTAATCTTGGGTTTATTTTTATAAAGGTAGCAGTGATAGGGAGAAATAATGCATCAAAATTGAGTGAACGGCAGATAAATAGAATTTAGGATTTTGTTCTGTGTTTTTCGAAACCGGACAGGACCAGGTGGTCGAACCGCTCTGGTTTTTATAAAAAAATCGGATTTGGTATAACCCGGTCAAATTCGGACAAATCCGGGTAAAATTACGGTTTGACCAGAAACCGGTACCGGTTGAACCGGTTTTTGCATAGATTTCTTAAAAAATGAATTTTTTAATTTTTTTTAATATTATTTTTAACCGATTTTCACAGATTTCGAAGAACGAACAAACCCGTTAACCCGGTAAACCCACAAATCCGGTCACGCTAACGGTTCACTTTCCCGTCCGGTTTTGAAAACATAGGTTTTGATAGACTAAATTCTCAATATCGGGTTTATTTTTATGAGGCGGCAGTGATAGAGAGAAATAATGTATTGAAACGGAGTCTGCAACAGATTTAAAATAGCGGATAATAGAATTTATAATTTTTAAAAATAAACGAGTTGGTTGAGGGTTAGATTTAGAATTAAAAATTTTAATTTTTAAATTTGAGGGGTATTTCTGTGTTTTCATACTAAGATTTGCTAATGCAGGGGGCAAATTATCCTTTAACCGGCGGTCAGGAGGTTATTGTCATTATAAAAAATGTCAGAGAGTAATTTGTCTTTGGAACATAACTCGGAGGAGCTTTTATCCTTTCCTTTAATTTATTTGTAGGAAAGTGAAATAGAACTTGTGGTGCACGAACTAACCCCAAGTACAGGCTGTAATGAATCACTACTAGTGACCACTACGAATAACCTTAGCCTCCTAACAATTCATAATAAATTAAAATAAAATAAACCGTCGCACTCTTAAAGATTATGAACAAATAGTTTTAGTTTGCTCGCAAACCTCTTGATTTGCGTCCATCTATTTTGTGTGGAAAGATAGAAACAACTTTATTTTCAAGAGCGAATTGAATAACAGTCTAATGGTTAGGGTGTTACGTTTGCTGGTAATAGATCAAGGTTAAATTCCATCCAAGGGTTTATAGGGAGGTTTTATCCACATTTAAATGAGGTCCACTGTGATGAATTTTTTTAAAAAAATATATTTAATTTTCCATAATGAAACTGCCGAGATTTACAGATTGTCCAACATGTTGTCTTTCATCTTAAAATTCGACATGCTTTTAACGGAGAGAGTGCATTATTATTCGAAAGTCGTAGTTTGGTTGGCCAGCTCTCCCATCCAACAAGGTGCCTATCATGAGCGAGTAAGATTAGTCACTGTTACCAACGATGGACACCCTGTACTATGAAAAAAAAAAAAAAAAAGAAAAGAAAGTCATAAATTCGTGTAATAAAATTCACTCCCAACCAGGGAATAAACAAGTGGTTTAGGCTTTGACATCAATAATGAGAGATCAGAGTTTGACACCCATTTATAATAAATGTTGAATTTGTGTAGGTTTACAATTTGCAACCGCCAAGAGACCTACCAAGTAGTAGATCGAAGCATACACGCGCATTTGGAGTCTTCCCAGTATTCTTCCCTCTCCCGCCCGCTTTTGTTGTAATGTGTTAATCGGACATATTGCAAATCTATACAGAAAATTATAATAATGAAATATCACACACATATATAGATATTAAATTATTGAAATTTTACATGATAAGATCAAACGATAGAACAAAGCAGACACGAACATCACCCTTAATGAACATGACACAAAAACACACTGCAAATTTATTTGGGACAAAAGGATTGGTGACTTCTTAAGCTTGGTTCAGATGATGAGCTTCAATGTCTTCAATCACGTGAAGGAAATAGTTCAGCAAGGTTCCTGGATGAGGGCCGAGTTCTTCCAGTTTCTCATACTCCAGAGTCCATGTTATGAGATTATCTTCTCCATTTGTGTCAACATGATATGTTATGATGAAGGTCTTGTACAGTTCCATCAGATCCCCTTCAATCATCCTGAACTTTATTGATTGCTTCACTTCACCAACTTCAACGATGATCTGCTTAGCAGTCCTGTCTTAACCATCTATGGGAAAAAAAATTTTAGCATCAACACATCTATCCAAAGAGTCCCTAATTCTTCAGTAATTGTAGCATGGTGTAAACAAATTTTGGTTTCCCATTATTGATAATCTCTAATTATTTCGGCCATAAAGGAAAGTTTTACACGATGAATTCTTTTTACTGGTAATCAAATTAACTTGCTTTACCAAAAAAAATAAAAAAATAAAAAAAAGAAGAAATGTTGCTTATCCATTCTTCAAAGTCAAACCAACCAAAGTTGGCTAATGATTTGGTTTTATCAATCAAAGTGGCACATGAAAAGTTTTAAATTTATCTAAACCTATTTCGAGATGAAGCTCGAAATCGATTAATTCAGCCGCTAACTTCAAATCATTCATATATCATAAGATCAAATATCACCAAAATAATTAATTTTGTTGCTCTACAACATAAAATTAACGATGTAATTAAGTGGGTCAGATATGCTTAATTATCAAAAGAAGAAATGAAACGATACATAGTCCCTCCGTTACAAAATAAGTGTCGTTTTGGCAAAATAAATAAATTCTAAAATAAGTGTGGTTTTCGGATTCAAATTCATTTTTTGTAAAAATTTCCAAACATACCCTCAAAAAGAAATAATATTATTGGTAGCATTTATTTTAATGGGATTGGTTGAGGATATTGTAGTAATTTAGTCACCCTATTTAATGTTTTCTTAAATTATGTGTAAACTCTAGAATGACACTTATTTTGGAACGGATGAAGTATATAATAGAGGTAATATCCCCTGAATATAGTGCCAGCAGATCTTGGATCCGGGAACTTCAATTGCACCATCTAGCAATCTAAATGCTTGAAGCTTTTCAGTTGTGGCAGTGGCGAGGTCGTGTGGCCTTTTGCTATCTCCAACTCCAGAGTCTTTGACTGCAGTTTTGCCTATCATGCCGTTTAAACCCATGCTTTCTTACAGTATCTGATACCAAAACAAGATAGCAGTTTATTAAAATGTTTTTCTTTTTCTAAAAGAATGTTTTCGTGTGTTCAGGGAACTGTGGATGAAGGGATTGGAATTTATAATGGGTAAACAGAGAAGACATCATGTAGTACTACACATGTCGGTCTTTTACGGTGCAATAAAATATTATTATAAAGAAAATTATTATTATTCATAATCTAAGTCTGGCACAATTTTTAAAAGTTGATAATTGGCTACCATAAAATGTCTGCTTTAAAGTTAATTAATAAGGTCACCTATTACTTATAAACCATTATAGAGAGGGTAATTTAGTCAGAATAAGAAAAAGATATACATTGGGATACAAAATGGACTTATATTTTGATATAAACCAAACTAAAAACTGGACTTTTTTTGCTGATTAAAAAATGGGCTTAAATGGTTTTAATTTTTGGTGTTGATAACCCGAGAGTAAAAATCTTATATAAAGACTAACTTTTTTCTTCCTACCTATAATACCCTTTTTACAACATTTAATGAATTCTTCATTACTCTACTTCTTCATGATTATCTTTTTAAAATTAGATAACCAAGCGAGAATCGAACCCTCGACTTGTTAGTAATAAACAACCCTCAACTCGTTAGTAACCGTCAACTTGTTGATAATAAACAATCCCATCTTAAATAAACATAACCACCCCAACCATCCGTACCACTTTACCTCTTTATGATTTATAGTAAAACTTCTATAAATTAATAGTGTCGGGACCAATAAAATTTATTAATTTAGTGAATTATTAAATAATCAATAAATTAATAATATATTAATTTAAAGAATCTATATGAGAAAAAAAGAACCGTTACTAAATTACTTAATTTGCAGTTTTCTTTACATCTGAATCAATCAAATACTAAAGCTATTATGAACGGTAAAAATCATATATAGTTCATATAATCTCCAGGGTCAAAAAAACAAGTATGAATAGTTCATATTTTTTTTAAAAATATTTATAGTAATTATTAATTTTTTGTTGTTGCTAATGTATTTATTAATTTATGGTGCTATTGGGACCTATAGATATATCGGAGATTTTTTAAAACATTATTATCTTATCATTTTATTGATTTTTTCACTCTTTGTACTTGTCCCAAGTTGGGACCGGAGAAAATTAATAATTGTTAGATATTATTAATTTATCGATTATTAATTACCGACGTTATACTGTACCTTTATCACCTTGATTATTTTGCAGGCCTATTTCCTATTTCGGAGTCCACATTACGCTTTTTTTTTTCCATTTTCTAAAGAAAATTTCTGCTAAGATTTTCATTCAGAAATAAGTGTTTCAATTTCGCTTAGAAAAATTAAATTTGACTAATCAAAATGACACTATAAATTAAATTTGAGTCATAATACGCGAGTTGACATTTTCCATGAGTAAATGACAGCCAAGTAATGGTAAACAATTATAAATCACGTGTTGATTGGTTATAATGATAGTGATGTCTTGAACAGTAACTCCAAAACACAGTATTGGTGAATTATTATTCTGTTCGAAAGGAAAAAAAAATTAAAAAAAAGAAGAAGAGCGAAATGTTGGGAATCAAAGAATAGTCGGTTGAATAAGCTTGAGGACTTTAAACTGCTTATGGGAGTAAACACGGATTCGAATGCAACTCTTGTGAAGGGGAAGGGGAGGTTAGATGGGTTAGGAGGCAGGAAGCAGGTACGAAATGGTAACATAGTTAGTCACGAAAATTGTTACCAAGGGACGAGAATAATTATTGTTGACGATCATGGATATCAAAAAATTATTAGTAAAAAAAAAGAGAAAACTTTTACATACTAAGCATACTATGCCGACTGACGCAATTTCCATTTTCTTGATTTAAAAAAAAAACAAACATTTTTTTTTTCCGTTTTTAAAATTTAGGCTTTCTTTGTGGATATAAACTAATTAATTACGTTTTTCACTCATGATGTTTGATCGTAAACCGATGCCTTTCGAGGATCGAGTGAGCACCTTTGTGGCAAAAGTTAATCCAAAGTGAACATATATTCCTGTTGCTTGAAAGGGGTGGGTGAAAAAGTAATGCTGCAAGCAAAAATGCCCTTACAGTTAAGATTTTTAGTTCTTTTGTTATTTTCATCAGTCATAATTTAAATTCCCGGACACTTACCAATAATTCCTAATTTCATAATTTCATCATTCACAATGTTTACAGAAACAAAAATAAAAGAACTGTTTAACCATAAAAAAAAAAATTAATTTATCATTCTTTACGAATCTTCTTTTTCATTCATAAAATAGAACTTCTTTTTCTAAGTGGAAATTGATTCTTTGATTCTTTTCACGTGAACATTTAACTTTTTATTGACAAATTACTGAAAGTTATACTTTGCTTCACTTTCAAGCGAATCTTGGATGGTATTGATGTGAATAATTACTTCTCACATTGTCCTCAGTTTCTTATATAAATTCAGCCGTACAAATTGGCATTATGCACATATCTGAACTAAATACCTTTCCAACTTATACAAATTTTCAGATTACAATATCAAAATTTATCAATAAAATGGCTGGTGCCTCATATGGTAGTTTTCACATCTTTCCGGGAGACTTGACAATTGTTTTGGTTGGCAGCACTGGCAGTGGAAAAAGTGCGACAGGAAATTCGATCCTTGAAAAGAAAGCATTCAAGTCAAGCTCTGCCTTTGGTCGCGTGACAACTACTAGTATGCGACAAGCCACCGTGTTAGAAGATGGGAGAGTTTTCAACGTGATTGATACGCCAGGTAAGGCAACTGTTTTTAGCGACGATTCAAGTCAAATTACCGGAATTATTACTTATGTTTTTTTCAGCTAATTGTTGTTGGACTATTTCTAGTCAAGTTAGCGGGGCAACTTACTTATTATTTCTAAATAGGAAAGAGTTTAATTAGTTATTCGATGCTACCAATACAGGCTTGTTCGATTCTATTAGTAAACCTGAAGATGTTGAAAAAGAGATTGTAAGATCCATACAAATGTCTAAAGATGGCATTCATGCGGTTCTTTTGGTTGTGTCACTGAAAGTTCGATTTAGTGAGGAACAAGTTGCTACTGTTGAGACCTTGAAGCACTTGTTCGGAAACAAAATTCTTGATTATATGATTGTCACTTTTACTGGTGGTGATGAATTGGAAGAAGATCAAACATTGGATGACTACCTGGCATATTCATGCCCTCCAGCTTTAAAGGTACTTCAGTTCCTCTTTCTATTCAATAATAGATATATGTATATATATATATATATATATATATATATAGGCTAACAGTACATGTGAATATGAGATCGATTAAACTCATTTGTGTGGCCATATTCATTTTTTTTCTGGAGATGCAAGCGTTAATCACTTGTATTTTCTCCCTTTTTGATAAAAAAAAAAAAATTCTTTTGCATTTATATTTTGATTTATTCTTTGAAATTTCATCCATCATAAAATAAGCGCCAGATACAAAGGAATTGATTTTTTGGCCTTTCTCAATGTGTGAAATATAGGATCTACTTGAAAAGTGTGAAGAGAGAAAGCTAGTGTTTAATAACAGGGCAAAGGATCAGGTGACAAAGGCTGAGCAACGCCGACAACTTCTTACTTTGATTACCAACATTCTTGTGAAAAATGGTGGAAAGCCCTACACACATGAGCTTTTTAATCAACTCAAGGTCTGGCCCCCATTTGTAATTACCTTCTGAAATTACGTCCCCTTTTAAAGTAAAGAAACAAAAGTTTAGATTTCGAAGATGAAATGTTAGAATTGAAATGATTAAGCAAATCTAATAGATGAAATACATACTGTGCTCATTTATCAATTTTATCACAATGATTAGAATGTTATACATTAATCTCGTAAGCCGGATTTTGAGCTTTTTTTTTGCGAAATTGAATTATTTTAGCGGGACAGGGGAAGTATTAATTAAGGAACTAAATTTATTATCTGATCCAATTTTGTTTGTACTAATTGGCAGAATGAAACTGCTGAAAGGGATTCCAAGAAGAAAATCGATGAGGAGCAGCAACTTATTGCTACAATGGTACGTATAACTTAAGAGGGTTTTCTTTTTTCTTTTTTTTTTTTTCTGGATTTTTATGCCCAAGTGATGGCTTCAATTTTACTCTTTTCTATTTTATTGCACCGTTATACGTTAAGAAAATAGATTATTTTTCTAGTAGTAACATATAAATTTTTTTTTGCTGCTTTTCACCCGTCATTCGAGACCTGTCTTTACGTGATGCTGCTTTTCAATATAAAACTCGTAATTAACCACATAAAAAATTGATATTTGTATCAAAGATATAAATTTGAATCTGTAATTAGTATTATTAACCATAAACGGTAGAAATAAATGTACGATTCTGCTAGTAAAAACTTATGAATGAAGATAGGGAATTAGACCTCGAACCAAACCATTTAAATAGGTGCATGGTTCTGATTATTGGAAGAAAAAACTGAAAAACAAAAAGCAGATCTTAATCTATGCCAATAAGTATTAATGTATATGTGCTAGCTCGTACGTTTTAATTCACCACTACAACAAATATATGGTATGAAGTACCCCGATATTTGGGTACTTTCAGGAAGTCATTTTCTCAATAAGTGCCCAATTGAGTGAAGAACATATGTTGATATTAGAAAAATGTACAGTATAAAATTGTCGCACTACGTTGACTGTAGGGTATTTGGTTATCTAATGAGATACTACTATTTTAATTGAAATGCAAATTTAGGTACAGTGTTTTATGGTTTATTACGATTCAATGAGTGTGTGTAATGTGTTCTACTTCTCCAATTATTAAGTCCGACCCAATTAATTATATATTTTTTTTAATTGGTACTTAGGTGAAAGAGAAGCTGAAGGAGAGGGAGGAAGAAACCACAAGGTTGAAGCAGGAAGCAGAAAGACTTAAAAAAGAGCTTAATGCGAGCACTAAACACCAGCAACGTTCTAAACAAGAAATGCAGAGGTTGAACCAGCAACTGGTAACAACCCAAAGGAGAATTGTTGTAAGGCGGGGGTGTGTTGTGATGTGAACAATATTTAAAAACTCCCTCCCGTCCCAAAAGAAATTAATAGTTCTCTTTGTTCTACTGTTTTAGTTTAATAACATAAACTATTTTTTCGAGATCAAGGGAGTAAACCAATTTCATCATATGGAATATATTTACTCTCTAGTACCTTCAGTACTATACCGAAATGCTACAAAATGAACAATGTGCGTATATTTTAGTATGAGAATAGTGTTCTTGTGAATAAAGATTGTATGTGATCGAGTATATAATGTTGTATTGAACTCTTCTATTTCATTGGACTATAAGAAGAAGAATTAATCACGGGGTAGAAAAGAATCAATACGAATGAGTTGAGATATCAGATTTTTTATTACAAAGGTATAAAATTACGGGCGTAATGAATCAAATATTAACAAACCCTAAAACAGAGATGAGACGAAAAGAGGAAAACTGAAACTCTATTTCTCTCAGTATTAAATTAGATTATGTACAATAAGCTATTTATTGAAAACTATCGTCAGTGAGGAACAGTAAAGGAGCAGTCTCGCACAGTCTATACAAACACATTCTCTACATAAACGAAAATCGTTGCATGTCTTTGTAGCCTTCTCCGGAAGGTAATGCAAGTAAGTTATCTGATAAGATCAAAGGATTCTAGAAGCAGCAGGGAATAACTCTGAAACAGCATGCATGGAAGAACCCTAATGAGATGGCTTGTCTCACGTGCTAAGGAAGTCGTGGATTACCTTATCCATGCCCATCTCGACCAAGAAGTGAGAGAAATGAGGGAAAGAAAGGGACTTTGTAAAAATACTGACACACTGGAAGTTGGTGGAAATATGTAAGGGGCGAATCCGGCCAAGTGATCACGAAGTGGCAGTCAAGTTTGTCACATTTTGATGTGCTTTGTTCATTCGTGAAATACATGATTTTCAGTAATATACAAGAAAGCCTGGTTGTCACAATAGAAGGGAAGGAGAATTTGAAAATCTCGAAGATGATGTGTAATCTACAGTAATTCACAAACAGTCAAAGACGTGCTGCGGCATTTGTCTTCAGTGGAAGAACGAGAGCTAGTAGATTTGAGATGTGATATATTACTTAATGAGTAAATTTAGAATCAGGTGGTTTATCAATACTACTATGCATCAATTTAGAAAGCTATAATATATATAGTGAATGATTATTGCAAATGATGTATTGGTGAGTGGTAATCATTGCTCTGATAGGAAGTCATGAGTTCAAACCGCCACTACAACAAGAATGAGGGGTGGTTCTAAACGTGTCTATTGGCACTTTTAGAGAGTTTATTATGAAAATCTCACTCATCAACTCTCAATTTTGCACCCGAGTTTGTCATCCCGTGTTGGCCTAAGCTGGTTATCTCCAACCGTAGTTTTCAAGCTATTGCAGTGGGTATGGATTTACCCATCTCTGGTGAGGTTTCCGGCATTACAAATAAAAAAAAATGAACGATTATTAATGTTTAAAATTATATATATATATAACTGAATAAAGAATCATTTCTATTTATTAATAGTAAAAAATATTTTGTAGATTACATAGATGTCCTTAAAAAAAAATAACATTTTAATTCTCAAAATTATAGGAGTATTATTCTTTTCGGTGTGAGGGTATAGAGTCATGTATTCTTCCACAAGATGTTTGTTCTTCAATACAAAGTATAAAGATCGCTTTTGTGAGTAGCTGTCTCTTCTGAGTTGGCCCAAGTTTTATTATCCCCTAAAACATGACACAACTTTAGAGTAAATAAATATTCATATATTCGTAAAGGGGACAAAAAACTAAAAAAAAATACTGTGATATCCATGACGTTCTTCCAAGTTGCAACTTTTATAAGAAAGGGTGAGTTTCTACTGTAACATTTTGGAAAAAAGCCAATGTAACAATATTCATTCACATGACTTATCAAAACGAATCAGATTGTAGATTAATTGAAAAAAAAGAAATACTACAAAATGAGAAGGCAATCAATCAACGTTGTGGTAATCTGTACCTAACGGAAAAGTCCGTACACCTTACTATAATTTATGTCCACATATATTATCGCAGATTTGTTGATTAGTCTTTTTCTTCTAATTGAAAAAATAAAATCGTAATTAATTATGTAGGATGCTAACCATAAAGGCAGTAGTTCAGCACAAAGGAAAAAACAATTTATTATGACTATTTATCGATTTGAGACATTACAAAACACACTGTGGACTTTTTTTTTTTTTTCCTTTCTGAACAAAGTTTTAAGAACATAGGATATTACTTTTGTGTTCTAAAATAATTGTCCAGTTAATATTTATATTTTAATACAAATTATATTCAAATTTAAAACTCAAACTAGATGATTATTTTGAGATAGGTATCATCTTGTTATAAACCATCAAAAATAATTTTGTTTACGCGTAGGTATAGAAATATTTTATCAAATCAAATAAACTAGGAGTTTTTACCTTAATGTGTTCTCTTAGGATGGGGCTGGACATAAAAATTTTTTACTGAGAGGAGGGTACAAAAGTATGTTTCTCGAATTTTCAAATTCCAAAAGTACATTACTTTTAGGTTTCAAATCTGAATGTACGTCGCAAATCCGAAAATACAACAAAGTTGGGTGTATATGTCCTTTGAACAGATAATACTTTTAGATAGTTTAAATTCGAGTTTTTAAACTTAAATGAGTTGTTGGATTTTCCAGAATAGTTCTGTCCCCCAAAAAAAAAAAAATTAGACTGTGCACACTTAAATTATTTAAAAATTTTTTTCCAAATCACCCTATAAACTCGAACATAATGACAGAAGGGTAGTGCATTATGCACGGCCATAGGTTACCTAGTATAAACTCAAATTATAGGTTTGTTTGGATTTTTATTTTTTGGACAAATTTCTATTCTCAATGTGGATTTTTTTAAAATTTTGAAAAAGGTGTGTTAAATATCGAATGTTTAGTGGAATAGAAACAAGAATGTGGAGGGAAAGAGGGAGATGGAATTGTCGGCAGGAAGAAGAAGAAGAAAAAAGGAGCCGGTTATTTACTCATTTTTTTGTTCCTTCCTTTCTATTTTCGGGGCGATTGTGATCGGGGGAGGGTGGTTATTTGTGGTTTTACAAACTTGACTACTTGAGTTGAAAGAATTGTCGGTTTATATTCCCAAAAAATGAGAAAGCACCAGGAAAGTGATATTTAAAAACTTACAGAATTCAAAAATTGAATTTCGCTCTAAGAACACATTATTTTGGACATTTTGAGATGAAAAAATGTTCCATATTGTACGCTGGTGTTTATTTCTTTCACTGTCAACTTAAGATTTTCGATCCGTCATATTCTAAGTTCAAAGTTCTAAATTCGATCTTTACAGCAAGAAAAATAGATTTATTCCTTACTAATCTTCCATTTCATCTATCCAGAATAAATCCTTTTCCTAAGTGGTGGATAATTTATTCCTTAATTCTTTTTACGGCAACATTTTAACTATTCTAACAATTTACATGAAGTTATACTTTGCTTTACTGTCTAGCAATTCTTGGAGTATTGATGTGAATAATCCGTTTACTTGAATCTCATCCCCTAGTTTATATAAATTCATCCGCACACATTGGACGGTATGCACGTATCTGAACTAAATAACCTATCTAACTTGCAAAATTTTCAGATTACAATGTCAAGAAATCTCAAGAAAATGGCTGATTCCTCAAAAGGTAGTTTTCAAGGCTTTCCGGGAGACTTAACAATTGTTTTAGTTGGCAGCACGGGAAGTGGAAAAAGTGCGACAGGGAATTCGATCCTTGAACGAAAAGCATTCACGTCAATCTCTGGCTTCGGTCGCGTGACAACTACTTGCATGCGACAATCCACCACGTTAGAAGATGGAAGAGTTCTCAATGTAATTGATACCCCAGGTAATGCAACTGATTTTATCGATGATTTCAAGTAAAGTTAACGGAATTACTTATATTTTCTTTGTCAATTGTTGCTGGATGATTTTCAGTAAAATTAACGGAACCACTTGTTTAAAAAAATATGTAAGAGTTTATTTAGTTATTATTGGATGCTGCCAATGCAGGCTTGTTCGGTTCAACTATTAAACGTGAAGATGTTGAGAAAGAGAGTGCTCGATGCATGGAAATGGCTAAAGATGGCATTCATGCTCTTCTTTTGGTTGTGTCATTGAAAGTTCGGTTCAATGAGGAGCAAGTTGCAATTGTTGAGACCTTAACGCACATGTTTGGAGATAGAATTCTTGATTATATGATCGTCGCTTTTACTGGAGGGGATGAACTGGAAGATGATCAAACATTGGATGAGTACTTGGCCTGTTCACGCCCCCCAGCTTTAAAGGTAATTTTGTTAGTCTTTATGTTCCAAACAAAAATATTCCAACAGTATATGTGATCGATACAACTCAATATTGTGGCTATACACATTTCATGCATATTCTAGATTTGTAAACAGTGATCATTTGTATTTTTTATTTTGTTATTTTTACTTGTTCTTTTAAATACTTCATTCATCCGAGAATAAGAGCCAATCACAAAAGAACTGATTGTGGTCTCTCTCTTAACGGGTGAAATACAGGATCTACTCGAAAAGTGTGGAAACAGAAAAGTAGTTTTTAATAATAGAGCAAAGGATAAGGAGACCAAGGCTGAGCAACGCCAACAACTTCTTACTGTGATTACCAACATTCTTGTGAAAAATAGTGGAAAGCCCTACACACATCAGCTAGTTGTTAAAATGGAGGTTAGATCTCCATTCATGATTAGCTTCTGAAGTTTATGTTCCATTTTAACAGTTCAATTTTTTTAAAATTTTTTTTTTTGTATTTTTAACAATAGAAATTTTAGAGTTGATACATAACGTAGTGAAATAGATCGAATATAATTATATTTTTTTGTCAATTTTATCATCATTTTTAGAATGCTATATACAAATCTCTCAAGTCAAATTTTGAACTTTCTTTTTGGCGAAATTAATTGTTTCAAACGGATAAAGTAGTAAAGAAGATACTAAATTTAGTACTGTTTGATTCTATTTTACAAATACTAATTAATAGAATGAAACTGCTATTATGGATTATAAGAATTCAAACCTGGAAACGGATAAAGCGTCAGAAGACGAGGAGTTGCAGGGAGACAGTGCTGAAGTGGTATGTAAACAACAAAATGGTTTTCCTCCTTTATTTTGTTTTCTTTTATTATTTTTTTATTGCCAATGTGATTTTCTTTGATCTAACTCTCTTTATCCCAGGAAAATAGTTTCTTATCTTGTACTATTTTAGTTTAACGAAATTTACTAACACTAGCAACATCAACAACTTAATTCTTTTGGGTAATATTCACTTTCATTAAGGGAAAAAAAAAAACCAAACAATTACAAATATAGCTCAATGTAAACAAAAACTAAAAAGAAGTTTGGAGATGATAGTGATTCTGGTGATGATGGTTTTACTAAAAAGGGTAAGCATAGTAAGACGAAAAACCATTTCTGGGATCCCCTCAGCTTGTCATCAAACACGAATCTTATAAATCTAAAAACAACTCTTGCTTAAAGTGAATAATTAATCTTCCTACTTAAAATCCTATCTGTCACTATATCAATAACTAGTCTACTTAAAACTTCCGAGGATCTTCTCAACATTCCTCTCTTCCCATAAAAAATAAACCAACAAGCCAAACAAGATACAATATGCAACATCGACCAAATGGTTACCGCTCTACGTAGTTGAACTCCATTGTATACCCCTTTGTCATTCAACATGTGGCCACCTACATTGAACTTCTTTTTGGAGGATAGCAACACAATTCGTTGTGAATGAAGAATTGAAGAGTAGGTGTTGATGCAATTTAAACCCTAGCTCACAAAGAACACTCATTTCACCTCTACACTGTAACTAGACTTCTTTGTTAGTGGGAGTTTTTCTCAAAATGCCAACAATAAGATAAAATTATTCCTAGAAACTACCCTAGGACCAAGAAGAAGGTAAGTCTATCCCAAGGTTGGATGAGAACTTCGCAATGCAAGGACCGCTAATGAAGTTGTGAATATTCCATTCGAACATTGTTTCCATAAAACATCTTCTCTATCTAGATAGATCATTGGTAACAAAAATATGATAGTCTGAATCTCAAGTGTTGTCATATTCTATCCCCCTTCTTGTGAAAGACAGAGGAAAGCCCCACTAACATCTTATTTTAACGAAATGTAGACAGCAGTAATTTAGAAACTAAATTTAGCATTTACTCATATTTTGCAAATCCTAATTTACAGAATGAATATAGTGAAACAGATTATGACGAAGGTGAAATTTGTACTCCGGTTGAATTGAGATACCCAAACAAGGGTTGTCTGCAAGAGAATCTCGGGGGTAACCCAGGGGCAGACTATTAAGTCATAAAATGGGTTTTGGAAAATGTATTATTTGTAAATTGTTCTAGAGATTGCGTACCTTAATTGTTGTGTCGCAAGCCCTATTTATAGGCCATGAATTATCTGCTTCTTATCTGAGTTGTTATACGTTTTAACCACTTTGGCCTACTCTTTTAGGTCGGTAGGACCAAATTGGGGTAATGGGCCGAGTCCAACCTTACGATGATGAATCAGACTCTCCAAGTGCCCATGTCAAAAGTTAATAAACGAAATTTATAATACTTGACGCATAAAATTTACCAGGACTCCGTCCAAGGGTTGTGACACAGACAAGCCCAATGGAACCAAACTTTGCAGGTGCCCCGATTTGAGTAAGCTGACACAGATAAGTCCCACTGAAATTGGGTAGACAAACACCATTATTGTGCACGTAACCCAAGCACCGGTTACTACATAATTTGGCATTGAAAGTTGACAAAATCGTCTAATCATGTGTCCCCCCTTTATTCCATAAAGTATTAAGGAAAAATCTTTTCTTTTTCCCACTAAAACTTCATCACATTTCGCTGCAAAAGCCCTTCATTCGCCATCGGGAAACCTTTGGACTTTGTCAACCACCCTAGGTGCAGAATAGACAAAGTCCTATTAAATAAAAAATAAAATAACTGCTTCTGTTCTCGTCTTCTCTGATATTAATCTTCAGTTTCACTTCCATTCCTTTCTTAGAATAGTCAAAATGGCTAGGAGAAAATTTCTAAATAAGATTGTTGTCTCATATTTTGAATCTTCCTTTGAATCCAATGTGAAGGCCCTCGAACTTGCCTAAAAGTACAACCTTCCTGACTCCTTAGAGCCTATTGCCCCTACAAGGAAGAGAATAGATCTTTCTCCAACAGGAATAATTACTATTTACTCAAAAATTCTAGAGCTAGGCATTAGGTTCCCCTAATTTTTCTTGTTTTGGGAGATAGTAACAATTCTAAAGTCCCATTAGCTCGATTTACACGCAACTTGGTTACGTATGTCCTGGGTTTTGTGAATATCTGTGCCGAGGTAAAAGTTATTTCTCGAGTAATAGTGTTAGGTACTTCTTCAAGGCTTATACTCTATCGAAGGCATATAAGGATTGGTTTAATGACAACAAGAAAGCCTCAAATCATGCTCTAGATATAGTTTCTAGTTTCACTGGGGCACAATATGGGACACCTGAGTATTTCCTTGTAAATGATCCACAAAATATGAATATCAAGCGGTATCATCGAGAAACACATGGTTTAGAGCCAGTTGAAGATAAATGGAGTACTGCCGATAAGGAGCAAGTGGAGAAATACTCGAAGGACAAAGAGAAGATAGTCTTCCTCTCAGTTTGAAGCTGTAAATGGTACTAACCATGTTTTCTTTTGTTTTTGTTTTAGGTCGTGCCTTCAAATTTCTCCCCCAAAGACTTATACTCAGGTGCCAGCCCTCTTGTCATTGATTCAGACGATGAACAAGTACCAGGAAAGAAACAGGCCACCAAGGTCAAAAAGACTAAGAAAAGGAATATTCTAAGATGTTCGTGGAAGCCTATTGACGAGGAACTTGGCAAGAAAAACAAAAATGAACAGCCCCCTTCTGACAAAGTCGTCAGCACCACAACTTCAACACGGGAACAAATTGGAGAGAAGACCAAACTTTTACTTCCCCAAGAGGTTACCCTTGGCGGCAAGGGAACTGCTATAACCTTCTTTGACCCACCGATCGTAGACTGCGTAGAGCTCGAGCAGAAGGCACTAGCAATGTCAACCTCTGAATGCCTGATGCAGGTAATTGAACTTCGAGAACTATACAGACAAGCAATGGCCCTCGAGCTAATGTTATCAGCTATATTGCAGGTCAATGTTGTTATGATAAACTTCTTGTCTCAAATTAGAGATTTAAACACTGAAGTAAAGAAACTCCGAGATGAGAAAAAATTCTCTGAAGATTATCATCAGAAACAACAACAGCTCTTAAACTCAAGGGAGGAAGAGATAGAGCAATTAAAGAAGGACTACAATGCCATTGATGAGAAATTAAAGGCATCCATGAACTCTCATATCTCAAAGGAAGATTTGTACAAGTGGTTAGTCACTTTTCTGTACAGGATAATGGCCACTGCAGGAATGGTCGAGAAGGTGAAGACAGTCAACCTCCCATCCTTCAACTATGGTTGCCACTTTGTAGCTGTCGTTGTTCTCGAAAGGCTTGCCATAGGTAAGGAAATTACAGCCAAGTGGATCAAACAATTCATAAAGGAGGCTCCTCGAAAAACTATGCATCAGACCTTGGTGAGGGAGCTCACGCAGCCTGAAGAAAGCCAATTCCCTTTACTAGAGATTATTAAGGATGCATTGCCCAGCATGAAGGAGCCCGAGGAGCTGACAAAGCTAGCGGGAGATGTTTCTGTAGACCTGACTTCTCTGCCCCCTGAAGAATTATCCCTTTTCGAGGTGTCAAATGAAAAGGAGGCTACTCAAGTCGAAGAAGAATATGAAGAAGAAGTCGAGGAAGAAGGTGACATATAAGGGACTGTTGATGATGGAATTGCGGTACCTGCCAATGCTGGATTAGTGGACCAAGGTGTTCCTGACGGTAGTAACAGATGCGCAGTTTCATAGCTTGTAGTTACCGAGACATTGTATGACTTTTTCCTCCATTCTTAAATACCCAAAGACAACTTTTGGTTGTAAATTTATATTTTGCGAACAAAAGAATGCGCTGCTTTTATTTTGTGTTTATAAGAGAGCTATGCCACTCACCATATTCAAGTAATAATCTTGGATGACATAATGCTCAAAGGTTTCAATTTTACTTGGTATTGAGCATATTGATTAAGAGGGACGACACCCACGATCCGGACACTGTCCAAAAGATAAAATTAGACTTACTCGATGCAACGAATGCCTATAACATTCAATCTCAATCACGCTGATGGAAGAGGATTCAGATGCTCTGTGATGAAATACAACATTGAGAAGCTGGAGGATTAAAACTATTCCTTCATATTTAACCGAGATTTGCATGAAGAAGTGGATCGCCTAACGAAGGAGAATATGCACCTTTGAGTAGGGAAGAAGATCGAAATTTCTCCAGTGTAATTGGAAAAATATATACAATCCTTAAAAGATTAAAATCATAGCTAAGAATTAGGACTACATGATTCAATTGTTTAGTAGAACTCCTTAATCAGAGGATAAAATATGGGTAGTTCCTCGAGAAGCAAGTTGTTGCTTTTCAAGATGTCTTGCTCATGAAATTCCAGATCTGATCTTAGAGAGACCCGAGGATGAGGTGCCTCCTGATGTAAAAACCAAACAAGAGGAATTATTTCTCACGCCTGATGCGGAGGATGCGGATATAAATGATCTAGAAGACAAGATAGATCAATGTATAGTTAGTTTGAGAAATTGAGGGTTTAAGGTTGTCTTGAAACTGTCACGAGATAATGCATCAAAGGACACACTTGTAATAGATTAAATCAGAATGCAGATTGTGCTAATTGAAACACGATATAGGAGTTGTTCCGCTTCATTCCTTGTGCATATATAAATTTGAGGCTTTGATATAATGTCAAAAGCCACACACTAGAGATGACAAATTTGCATAGCACTTTTGATATGGCCAAATTTCAAATACACGACTTTTTTGAGGAGACTAGGTACGAATTTCTCAGCGTAAAACTTTTAGTTGTAAAAGTTGTGGGTAGCATGACTCGATAAATGTCAGGAAGTTGAATCCACGACACTTCCGAGGACAGTCCTAAAGAGGATATCTGACTTGATGGCCAGTCATATGTAAATGTGTGAATAGAGAAAAGAAATGTGTTTTTCCTAAAAGTTTGTTTTGGAAAATATGCAATGACTTTTATTAAATATTTACCTGAGGATCGGGGTTAGCATTACATTTTGAGGAAATAAAAAAGGCAAGAACAATTACAAATAAGATCCAAATCATGCACATAAAATCAGAAATGAAATGTAGGACATGCGAAAAGTGTGAGCATTCCACCTTCGAGGGAGAATCCTCTCAGTACATCAGTTCATTCTAGTTGATAACTTTCTGATGGGGAGGCCTCAGTCACACAATAAGGTCTTTCCCAGTTAGCCAATAATTTCCCCATGGCTTCTGCATGACTGGCTTCATTTTTTCTCAAAACTAGATCGCCCAAAACAAACTCAGTGGTCCAAACTTTCCAGTTGTAATGTTTTGCCAACACTTCCTTATGCCTCGCTTCTCGAATATTGATAGCGTCCCGCCTTTCTGCGAGAAGGTCTAGATTTATTCTGATATCCTAATGATTTGCTTCGACTATGAACCCAATTGCTCGAAGACTGTGCAAACCAATTTCAAATGGTAAGACTGCATCCAATTCATACACCAAACTGCAGGATGTTTCATTTGTCGAGGTATGTGCAGTTGTTCGATAAGCGCATAAAACATAGGGAAGCTCTTCTGTCCATGCTCTTTTCAATCTTTGTAGCCTGGTCATAATCCCATGTAGAATAGTTCTATTAATAGTTTCTGCCTTTCCATTAGCTTGCAAGTGTAATACTGACGAGAATCGTCATTCTATCTGCATTTCTTCACAACAGGACTTCAAAGGGTCACTCTCAAATTGCATTTCGTTATTTAACACAATGACTTTAGGTACTCCAAAGAGACAAATGACATTTTTTGTAGAAAATATTCAACACCTTTCTCTCAAATATCAAGGCCAACGGTTCCACTTCAACCCATTTGGTATAGCAATCCACTCCTACGATTATCCATCTTCCTCCTCCAACTCGATTTGGAAAAGGGCCGACGATGCATGTTCCCCATTGGTAAAATGGCAAAGGACTTTGAATTCCTACCATCTCATGTTGTGGTTGTTGTACAATATGGGACAATCATTGACATCTGTCGCACTTTTGCACAAATTGATATGCATCTTTGAACATGATTGACTAGAAATAATCAGCTCTACGGACCTTTTTAGCAAATCCATGAGCACCAATTCGTGCCCTGCAAGATCTATCATGAACTTCTTCGAGAACATACATGGCTTGTCAAAGACCTATGCATCGCAATAATGGCAAAAGATATCCATGCATGCTTTTATAGCAACTCATCACGAAGTTTTTATTTAACAGCTTTGAACTTTATATTTTGAGTTTTTGACCTGTTATTGTGCAAAGTACCGTCGGTCAAAAAGTTTATGAAGGTTGTCATCCAATTATCTCCTTCCGTAAAAATCTTCATGACCGGTGCTCGACTGCCCCTAGATTGAGATTGAACTTCTACTCAGAACATGTGATTGAGGTGTGCAAAATTTGAAGAAGCTAACTTGCTAAGGGCATATATGTAATTGTTCCTCGAACGTAGAATGTGAGAAAATACATAGCTTGCAAGCTTCTTTCCCAACTCGAGAACTTTCTCGAGATAGTTCTTAAGGTGTTCCTCCTACTTGGTACAATTACTGTTGATCTAACTAACCACCACCTGGGAATCACTGGAGACTCAATCTTCCTAACTTTCAGCTTTGAAGCCGTACTCAGCCCAGTAATCAAGGATTCATATTCTGCTACATTGTTGGTTACAGGAAATTTGAACCTCAATGCGTAGATGTTTTTGTCATCGTATTCTATTATCTCCCTTGTATCATTGTCCACAGTCGGTTTGGTTAAAATTATACCTAAGCAGTCCCTCTTGAACTCGCGGCATCTCGACTAGAAAATCAACAAGTGATTGTTCCTTCAGAGTTGTTCCAGGTTTATACTGGATGTGATGTTTCCCTAGTTCTACTTGCCATTTTATCATTCTTCCAAAAGCCCTAAGTTTGGATAACACCTGTTGAATGGGTTGTTTCATGATTACCTGTATATGGCGTGCTTGGAAGTAGGTCTTAACCTTCGAGCTGCCATGACTAGGATTAATATATATTTCTCCATGGGTGTATATTGAACTTCTGCCCTTGCAAAACCCTGCTCACGAAATAGATAGGCAACTTTTTACCATCCTTTTGTTGGATCAGAACAGAGGAGGGTGTTCCATCTTGAGGAGCGGGATAAACTAGTAGGAACTTCTCAAGGCTGGGTTTAGCTAACATTGGGGCAACAATAGTTTTAATAAACTACAAAGACACTTATAAATGTCATGATAGGTCATTTTATTTTTAAAATTTTTGAAAATCCTTTTACGGACTAGCTAGTGTCAGGATAACTTTTTAACTTTTTACTACTTAGGAAAAATAAAATACTAATAAAAAGAAAAAAAAAATTACTGTTAAAAACTTCAATAACAAAGAATTCAGTAATTCTCATTCAATAATATAATATTGCTAATACATATGACAAATGGATTAATATTCAATCCTCTACATAGATTTGTTTGAATCATTACAAAAACTACATTAAGTACGATCCGAACCTTCAAAATACATTTTCTCCCTTTGCTACCTTGATTCAAACGAAGAGAAAACCTTAATGCGTTGCTTGAAGGAGGCGAAATGACCTACTAAATTGGCTGCATTCTGCAATGGAGGTTAAGTTGCTGAAATTATACCACTGGTAGCTGAGAAGGCTCATATACACGTTGTGCAGGATGAACAAGTTTCACACTGGGATTCTACAAAACCCCCATGAGACAGAAGGAGAAGTCACCCATAGTTTATGAGAATGTTGAGTTGCTTGATGCAGGTTAGGAAAGGTTGGAAACAGGGCGTAAGATCCACATATATGATGACTAAATACCACATATATATGAACCATCGCACATCACATACAATCAGTTAATATGCTCTGTAATAAATCTCATAGATTATGATTTGCTAGATCATAGAAAAATTGAGGAATGCCTCCTATGAAGGCCTTTTTCTTCAGAGGAATGCATCTACAGTACCATCACAATTCATTTGTAAAAAAATGATTACAAACAAAAAGGATGAATTGTAATGGAATAATAAAAGGAAAGTCACCTACTTAGTCAGAATGGGCTACCATCAAACAACAAATCTGCAGCAACAAAACACCCATCCATCTTCTCAAATCAAAACAACCATATTGTTCCTGAAAATGTATGGAAGTACATGTGGTTACTCCTATTTTGTTGTTCGCCTTGCCGGAAAGGACACAATCATAATTTAAAACCATATAAAACCATAGAGAAAGACATACATAGAGTTCATTGCATCAAAGAACAATATCTTAAATCAAACAATATATCTCTAAATTAGTGACGATTAAAGCCACTTTCAATTGGACAACAAGAAACCTCCACTGTTGGAATCTACAACATTGCTAACTTAACAATGTAAGGGCACGCTGGACATCATCAGCTTGATGGTTCTCTTGAACTGAGCACAATATGTGAGCATCTCAAGTTTAGTCGCCAAATTTTCAAATCTATATTCAAAATTCTGGATTATATACAATATTGCATACCCTTTACCAGTACAAACTTATTGGTGTGATCAATAACCAAAGATCCAGCTGCACTTCTCTGATATTGATTACACACAACCTCAATATTGACACTCTTAAAATAA